CGCAAGCCCGCTAATCTCTACCAGACTGTCGTCGAGGTTACCTGCCGCATTGTGCCGGAGCAGGCAGAGCGCTGCCAGCTTAGTAAGTAATAACCACATCTCGCAATCGTTTGCTAATGGGCTACTCATCCAGATCATCAGTGGAAAGTGCTGCAGGGCGTGACTGGAAGCAAATACCTGGAAATGCAGCCCGTGGACGAGCTGGCCGTGCGGGCATCCCTTTCTGCTGCTCGCCAACAGGGCATCAACTCTGTGGCTGTGGTTCTGGCCCACAGCTACGCCTGCCCGGAACACGAACTGCGCATTGGTGCCATTGCGAGCGAATTGGGATTCAGCCATGTCACGCTATCGCACAAGGCAATGCCCATGTGCCGGGTGGTGGCCCGTGGCTACACAGCCTGTGCGGAAGCCTACCTGACACCCCATGTGGATCGCTACCTAGCCAGGTGAGTGCTTAGTATACCCGTGTCCCAATCTCGCTCATAAATAAGGGAAACAAATCTTAAGCAGCCATAGCTCGGAATGACTCGACAATAATAAAGATAATGGTAATACATCGCTTAGACTGAGACAAACAAATAGAAAAACTGTATGCTCCCCACCCCTCTCCCGCCTACTACTGTTTACTCTCCAACAACAGAACATTCGCGGCCAAAAAAGTAGGACCACCTCTAGAAACACTGTAAATACGATTAATTTGGTTCGCTTTGAATTTAACTCAAGATCTACTTTTTTTTTGGTAATGTGTTGTAGTTCGAGATAGGGGCCTCTGAATTTATTATCTTTTATAACTTTTTCGGTTGCGCCCGTCTACAACATTCGTACATGCTCATATCTTTAAATTCTTAAAAGGTTGTTTAGATTTTAGTACAGTGGACGCTCGATAATTAGGAACAGTTATTTCTAGGGGTGTTTTCAATTTAATGAAGGTATGCATACCTTAATGACAAATATACTCTTTTCAGCTTTAAATCGGGCTTTGAAAATCAGTTGGCTGGTGTGGATGTGCTCTTCATGCAATCAGATGGAGGCCTGACTAGTATGGAAAATTTCCGGGGCGCGCGTGCCATACTTTCGGGTCCGGCAGGCGGCGTCGTGGGATATGCGCTTACAGGCTCGCGTGAAACGGATTTGCCATTGATTGGTTTCGACATGGGCGGTACTTCCACTGATGTGTCCCGCTATGCCGGAAGCTATGAGCACGTTATTGAGAGCACCACAGCGGGCGTAACAATTCAGGCGCCACAGTTAGACATCAATACTGTAGCAGCGGGCGGCGGATCCCGACTCTTCTTCCGATCAGGCATATTTGTGGTGGGTCCAGAGTCAGCGGGCTCCCACCCGGGTCCGGCTTGTTACAAGAAGGGCGGGCCACTGACTGTTACCGATGCCAATCTGATGCTTGGCCGCATTCTTCCCCAATACTTTCCCAAGATCTTCGGTCCAAATGAGAATGAGCCCCTGGACTATGAGCTCACCAAGCGCAAGTTCAGCGAGCTGCAGTCAGATATAAATGCTCATCTGAAAGCCAGCGGTGACTCCAGAGTACTAAGCATTGAGCAGGTGGCTCTGGGATTCATTCGCGTCGCTAACGAAACAATGTGCCGACCGATACGTGCTCTGACGCAGTCCCGCGGTTTGGACACCGCGAATCATGTGCTCTCCTGTTTTGGTGGTGCCGGTGGACAGCATGCCTGCTCAATAGCTCGAAACCTGGGCATAGCTAAGGTCAGCAAGTTAACAATATTGACGATCAATTCTAATTAACGTGGTTACAGGTGGCAGTGCACAAATACGCCGGAGTACTTTCAGCCTACGGCATGGCACTGGCAGATGTTGTCCAGGAGGTGCAGGAGCCCAGTGGGATGGAATTTAATGATGCGAATGCACAGCTAATTAAGGAACGATTGGATGCTTTGTTAGCCCAGTGTCATGGTCAGCTGGCAGAGCAAGGCTTTAAGAAAATTGAGCTTCAATCATTTCTCCATTTGCGCTACGAGGGCACTGATGGAGCCTTGATGTGTACGCCAGCACCTGCTGATAAGGGTCATTTGTCGGAGCAATCATCGCCGTTGCTAGCTGCCTATGGCGACTTTCACGTCACTTTCCTTGAACGTTACCGCACCGAGTTTGGTTTTGTGCTGCAAAATCGACGCATAATCGTAGATGATATTCGCATACGGGGCCTGGGTAAGAACGAGACACCACCTGAGCCGCAGGTGGAAAAAGCACGAGAGCTTACTCCCACTGCCGAGGGATACACCCAGGTGTACTTTGACCACGGCGCTTTCGAAACGCCGATCTATTTAACCAAGCATCTGCTAGCTGGACATAAGATCTCCGGGCCCGCTGTGCTTATCGATCAGCTGTCCACCATCATAGTGGAGCCCGAATGTTCCGTTCATGTGACCATTTATGGAGACCTTATAATGGATGTGCAAACAAGCGGCAAGCATGGCATTAATGCGGAACTGGACCCAGTGCATCTGAGTATATTCAGTCACCGATTTATGAGTATTGCCGAGCAGATGGGAAGGTAATACCTTGACTTCAATATTGGTTCCTCGTACAAAAGACTTACTTTTTTCAGAGTGCTTCAGCGTACCTCCATATCGACCAACATAAAGGAGCGTCTAGATTTTTCCTGTGCTCTGTTCGGCCCGGACGGCGGCCTTGTTAGCAATGCACCACACATTCCCGTACATTTGGGTGCCATGCAGGAGACGGTACAGTACCAGCTGCGTGTGCGGGGTGAAACGTTAAAGAATGGCGATGTCATTTTGGCGAATCATCCACAAGCCGGTGGCTCCCACCTGCCGGACCTTACAGTTATCACACCAGTGTTCTATGAGTATGGACTAGTTCGCGGCATTTTTATGCATTCTTACTCATATAGTTTTGTTTGATTATAGGGGACAACCGCGTCCAGTGTTCTTTGTTGCGTCGCGCGGACATCATGCAGACATTGGCGGAATTACGCCAGGCTCGATGCCCCCTCATTCAACTTCCCTCGCTCAGGAGGGCGCAGCTTTCAAGTCGTTCCTTATTGTGGAGAATGGGGTCTTTCAAGAGCAGCAGATTGTTCAACGCCTGACAACACCAACCGGCGCTAAGGGCGCTGTGGGCACACGCAACCTCAGCGACAATCTGTCAGATCTGAAGGCACAGATCGCGGCCAACCATAAGGGCATACACCTAGTGTCTGAGCTTATTGACAGTTACGGCCTTAACGTCGTACAGGCATACATGACCCACATTCAAAAAAACGCGGAGCTGGCAGTGCGCGACATGTTGCGTCAGATTGGTCGAGATACCTTGGAGCGCACAGGCTCGACGGTGCTAATGGCCCAAGAGTTTATGGATGACGGCTCACCCATCACTTTGCGTGTCACCATAGATCCCGAACACGGTTCGGCTTTGTGCGACTTTAGTGGATCCAGTGAAGAGGTCTGGGGTAACTGCAATGCTCCACGGGCTATAACGTTGTCAGCTCTCATATACTGTCTTCGTTGTATGGTGGGACACGACGTGCCACTTAATCAAGGCTGCCTGGCGCCCATTCAAGTCGTGATACCCAAGAACTCTATACTGGATCCGTCAGAAGGTGCAGCTGTAGTTGGCGGGAATGTTCAAACCTCACAGCGCATTGTGGACACTGTGCTAAAAGCCTTCCGTGCTTGCGCTGCATCGCAGGGCTGCATGAACAACATCACCATTGGAGACGATCAGTGGGGGTACTACGAAACTGTGGCTGGCGGCTCAGGCGCTGGACCAGGTTGGCATGGTGCTGGTGGTGTGCACACGCACATGACCAATACTCGTATTACTGATCCGGAAATTCTGGAACTACGCTATCCCATGATTCTGAAGCGCTTCTGCCTGCGTACCGACGGCTCCGGCGGGCGTGGACGTTTTGTTGGCGGCGAGGGAGTCGAACGCGATTTACTCTTCCGCAAGCCGGTTACATTATCCGTTCTCACCGAACGTCGCACATTGCAGCCATACGGACTGGCTGGCGGTGATCCGGGAAAGAGTGGACGCAATCTTATCGTTAAGCACGACGGACGAGTAATTGCCCTTGCTGGCAAGACCTGCATTGATGTTGAGGCTGGGGTAAGTGTATCACAGCATCCCACTTAAGCAATCTAAGTTTCGTTTGTTCTTCAGGATACATTTGCTATGAAGACACCTGGTGGCGGTGGATACGGCATCAGGGATGATTCCTCCAGCGCTGATCAACCCGCGCAAAACATTGCGAACGTCCCCAGGTTCGTCGAAAGGGGCACAGTCCACGACTACCGTCAAGCACAAGAGTCGGCATAACTATACAGAATGATGTAAAGACATTCAAAAAGGAAATTCTGATTGTTAATTAATTAAAGATTGTTTATTACCAGTTATTAATTATTTCTTAGTTATCTAGTTCATTACGGTATGTGATCATGGAGAGTACAAACTATGTGTCAGCCATGGTTTCATACAAAACGTCCGCGAAATTAACAACTTAATATAAAAGGATAAATATAAATATAAAAGGATTAATATAACGTCGGGACGCCGACGTTTTAACACCCTTATAGCCCTAACGGGCGTGTAAACATGTGAAGCACGGGAATGCTGACTGAAACTTACTTTTCGACCGATTTTTCCTATATAGCAGAGCGATCTTGGTTTGAATTATATAAATTATGCTGCATTTATGTGAATCTAGTAAATGTCTAGCTTACTTGAGATTTCTTAATAATTGAAAAGTTTTTCATATACATACCTTTCGAACGTTTGTTCCTATAACAGCTCAAAAATCGATACAAAGTGAGACCAATAACGATATCGATAGTAATTTGCAGCACGTATCGATATGAAAATCTGATCCATACAATATGCATATCGTGAATGGCTGTTAATGTTTTCATCGATGTTATGTTAAATAACAGTTTCATTGCTAGAATTTTTTGTAAACAATGTGCACGTGTTGCACACATAAAGTAAATTTAATTTAAAAGAACTGATTACAAACTGCGTTGAACAGGGTTTTCTTTTACATATTGTAAATAGTTTTCATCAGGATGGCCGCAATAACTGAAAAGTCAAAAGACACAAATACTTTTCGGGTAAGTGGCTCAACGATATTCGCTGGCCCATAGAAACAATTTGCTAATGCCTCTGAAGTTCAAGTCGTTCACAGATCGCGTAAATGAGATCGACTTGCGTCATTTGGCACTCTACCATATAGGCCACAAATACGAGCAGCTCGAGGAAGCGGAGAATGAAACTTACTTTCAACAAACGCTACAAAAATGGAACGTGCTGAATCTGACAGAAGAGTACAACTATTTCAGCAAGCGATGCCGCAAAATAGTCACCCTACCGCAGTTGTTGCATCAAAAGGACTTTGTAGTTGACTTGCTTTTAGAGCGCCTGGCCACAGCCACAAACTTGTCGCAGCAACCGCTTTTGGAGCTTCTCTACGTGCTGGCCCGTGACCTGCGCGAAGAGTTCTATGCATATTTCCAACGAGTGCTGGACCGGTTGATATGTCTACTAAACACGCAGGATGCCGAACAGCTGGAGTGGACGCTTATCTGCCTGGCTCATCTGTTCAAAACACTGAAGTCATATTTAAAACGTAATATTGGCATCGTATTCAATGCTATTCTGCCGCTGTTGGACGAACAGCACTACGCGGAGCATGTGACCAACTTCGCAGTTGAGTGCTTTGCCTACATAGCGCGCGATGTTCGCGACTTTCCCCGCTTCCTAGCCTATGTGCTGAAAACTGTGCTGCGCGAGCAGGTGGCAAGTGTACATGGATGCGGACGACTGCTCTACGAGATACTGCGCGGTGTCAATGGCCAACTGCACACATGTGCCGCCCATCTTCTGGCACATGTTCTGGAGTTGCTATCAAACGCAGATGCCAGCCACACCAGCGCCCAGACGGCGCTGCTTGCGGATATCGTGCAGCACTGTTTCGGCCTGCTGCTCAATTTTTTGCGTGCCGATCAAAGCGTCGTCCTCTGGCAGCAGCTCTGCGGTGCTATATCCAAAGAGGGCCTTAGCACGACAGCCACGGTGCAGCTACTTGAGCTTATTCTGCCGCTTGTTACACATAAGGACGGTCGTTACATTGCGGAACTGTCGGTGCTAGTGCCCACGATCTTAAAGCTGCTCGATAAACATATGACCGTGGATGCCGAGCCGCTGCAACAACTGAGTACCTTGGTTAGTAGCTTGTTAAAAGCTCGACATGCGCAACTTGACCAACTGGATGCTAGTCGCCTTCTACAAAATCAGCTGAAAGTCAGCCAGGTATCACGTGACGTGTACTCGGATTTCATTCTTCAAATGATGGACTATAAGCTGTTTGAGCTTATGGTGCTACCCCACGTGGTAGCCCACTTCGAGGAGCATAAGGATACAGCTGCCCTGGAACTTTTAGCGCGCATCGTACAGCATAAACGCCCGTTACTCGTGGATGCCACAAGTCTATCGAATTGGCAGGCATATCCCATGGAGCTGAAACAAAAGACAACCCACGAGCATTTGGAGCATCAAATTCAGCGAATTGATGTGACTGAAGAACGTCAACTATTGCTCCTCATTGTGTTACCTCATTTGCGCGGCTTCAATAAGCAGCCGCTTGAGAGCAGCCTCCAGTGTGCCATCCAGGATCAGCTAGCTGCCAATGCTTCCGACCGCACGGTGCTGCTCCTCCTTCTGCAGACGCACTTCCTGCTCAAGTTTAAGTTGCCCAAAGAGCTGCGCACACAGCTGCAGGAGACTCTGCTGCCGCTCGTTGGCAACGACTTGCGAGCTTTGGCCTGCTTACAGCTCATCTTGCATAGCATGGCTAAGGGTGAGCTGACGCCCAGCGCAACAGAGGCCACTTTAAATGCTGTATCTAAGCTGTTAAGTGAACCAGTGGCGCAGTGCCGTCGTATTGCCGCTCATTGCCTGGAGATGCTGGGCAGCGATCAGTGCAAAATCAATCCGTATGGCTATTTTGCTGCCGCCTGCTGCATTGAACCCACAGTTCACAATTACCGAGAGCTGCTGCTTCAGCTGCAACAACTGGAGCCTGCAGCGGCACAGTTCAAACGATTCGCCAAACTGCCGCACTACAAAGAGCATGCAGTCAGCCTGCTGCTGGGATTATTGTACAACAATTTCAAATTTGTGTGGGCGCCGGTACAGCAGCTGCTGGCAGAATATGTCAAAGTCATGACCACCGAAGAGTTCTGGGGATTGTTCAAGACAAAGCTCTTGCAGACAATAGAATGCATTGAATACAACGTGGAGGCGCCCACCTTGCAGCAGCAGCCACATCACAGCTACAACTCTCAGGCCCTTTCATCGCTGCTGCCACTGGGTGAGGCATGCAACCAATTGACGCTACAACAAGCTTTGAATTACCGTCAACTGCTTTGGCAATGTATTCCCAAATTGGGAAACATTGCCGAGCTTAAGAACGCGGATCTGGTGCGCCTATTCTTGCAGTTCGTGGAGCGCGAGTATCGCGCCCAGCTGGAGCGCACGGAACACTCTTGGAATTTAAATGAGTCAACGGGTAAGCACTTAGAAAATCCCAAATACCAAAAATCATAGCCACATTATGTCCATAGTAAGTGCATGCTAACGTGCTCAATTGAAGGCTATAGAAATTTACTATTCCCTTCAAATGTCGTTTGCATAGAAGGATAAGTCTTCTTTATCAATCGATATAGCCATGTCTGTCTGTTTGTTTCAGTGGGACCTAGCATCTTCGTTGGTTGAAATTAGATCACATTACTTCTCAAGTATTGAAATATCGCTCCGTTTTAAGTATTTCACTTTAATCTTTATTCCTATGGGGACAAGCTTCTTTCTATCAACATCTTTTAAGTTTTACTTATTTTGGTATATTATTTAAAGATATTATTTACATATTGCAGCCGACGATATAGATGTTGACGACGGGGACACCGAACACCTCGAGAAGACTCCATTAACGAGTGCGGCGCGAATCACGAACGAACGCCATAAACGGAAGTCACGCAATGCGCATACAAAATTTATACTTCAGACGTTGCAACTTAAGCTGGCTTGCTTCGTGTCGCAGCCAAATCCTAAGGCACTGCACCGGGAATCGGAGATGCGTGAATTTTATCTTGAGCTGCTCGCAGGACCCAATGCGCAACTGCAGCAGCTAGCGCTGGATTGCTTGGCTGCGTACAAGCAGCCAGCTGCATTGGTCCAGCAAAAGCAGCAGTTGGCGGGGCTGATCGATGACGCCAAGTTCAAGGCGACCCTTACCGGATTAGAGGTAGCCAGTCTGCCCACGCAGCAGCGAACCGAGCTGATGCCCTACATACTGCGCGTGCTGTATGGCCACCTCACCAAGGGCGGCCAGCGTCAGCTGAGCGGGCAGCAGCGCAAGACGCTAATTCTACGTTTTCTCGGTCAGCTGGAAGAGAAAGAGATATTGGACTTCTTGAAAATGGCATTTGGCCGCTTTGAAGAGTACACAAGCCAGCCAGTCGAGCTTCTGGCGGGACATGTGCGGGCACAGTATGTGCCCACGGCAGTGATCTCTGCGCGCCAGCTGCATAGAATTGTTAACTTGCTGGAGCTTATCAGAAAGGAGTTCGCGGGCCGCCTAAGTGCCGCCTTTCAAGTGTACGTTCTGAAGTTGCTGCTCTTGGCGGGCAGCGTGTCGCAGCAGGTGATCGGTGACAACGCCCTCGAGGCTGGCAAGCTAATGACAGCCTACAAGAATGTGCGACACGCAGCGATCCAAACGCTTGTCAACTACTTTGGTCAGCTTTTGGACATGTCGGAACTGTGGAACACCAAAGAGATGCAAGCTATATGCGATGTCTTTGTCTGGCCCTGCCTGGAGCGTTTGCCGCAAGACTCTATACACACGCCAACGCCTCTACTCAAGCTGCTGCTGATGTGGGGTGGCGAGCCTAGCTATCAGTCCTGGCTGCAACAGCGGCCGTCGCCCGAATCGCCGCCCATTGTGCACTATCTGATGGCGCTGCTTGTGAACGACAAGGCCAAGCCAGTGGTGCGACGTGCGTTGCTGCAGTTGGTGGAACAACTCTTGGAAAGCTCTAACACAGAGGAATATGGCCCACAAGCTCTAAGCATTTTGCAGCCGTATATACCGGATGTGCTGCAGCTATTGCAGGCCAGCTGGCGGCAAAAAAGAGCCGGCAAACAGACATTGGACAAGCGGGAACTCAACATTTTAAGCCTGCTGACGGTACATGTTCACGAACCAGACACGTGCGAGCTGCTGCTGCAGCTGTTGCTGCCACTTTTCACCAAGCAGGCAGCAAGTGCGAGTGCGGAGACTGTCCTGCAACTGATTACCACGCTCTCGAATCTTGTCCAACGCGTGCCCGCTCCCCACAACTATGTGCGCCAGCTGGCGCCGCTCTTTGAGCAGGTGCAGGCGCTGCCCGCTCGCAAACTACTTTGCGAAATGCTCTCAGACATGGCAAAGCGCCTGTTTAAGCAGGCCAAGGATCAGCCCGAACTCGCTGCCGCCTCGACAAAGTTACGCGAATGGGTGCGTTTTGTTTTGCAGTTGAACGCCTGGGACAAACGTTGGCTGGAACAGCCCGATTACGACAAGCGGCTGCAGGCACTTACCGATCTGAAACAGCTGCTGGAGCGAAAGGAGGACAGCCCGGCTGTCTACGATATGGAACTGGGACTGCTGGTGACTTACAATTGTTTCTATATGCTTCGCCATGATTCGGACTTGGGCATGCGCGTCAACATTGGCGAGCTACTAAAGCTTATGCTGCCACAGCTGACAGGCCAGCTAATTCAAAGCAAAGATGAGCTGCATTTCTGGCTGGAGGAATGCCTGCTACCGCTACTGCAGCGTTGTCTGCGTGACGAACGTCACGAGCACGCACGCAATGAGGCCATTGGGCTGCTGGGTGAACTAGCGCGGCGGTGCTCCGATGCCCATGAAGTGCTACGCGATCTTGCGCCGCTGGCCGAAGCTCACGACGTTGAGGTGGACTTCTTTGAGAACATGCTGCACTTGCAGGCCCAGCGTCACGGTCGGGGCTTGCAGCGTCTAGTCAACGTCGCGGGAGGCGCCAGTTGGCGACAGACGCCGCCCTGTGCCCGTACGCTAACTCAGCTGCTGCTGCCGCTGGCCACACGCTACCTGTTGAGCGAAAAACATGCGGGCAAGCACACTCTCGTCGATGCGGCAATCGAGGCAGTGGGCGTCATGTGTGAGCTGCTTCCCTGGCAGCAATACCACGCCGTGCTGCGCCATTACCTGCAGCGCCTGCGACTGGCGCATGGCCAGCAGAAGCAGTGCGTTCGCCTGGTGGTGCGCATTCTCGATGCTTTCCATTTTGATTTAACGAATGCGAATGCCGATGGAACCCTTTTGGCACAACTCAAGCGGAAGCTTACCGAAACGCTTCCCGAGCCAACCGAGTCAACAAACGAACAAACGGATGAAAACGGCGAAGAATCGGAATCAAAGTCTATCAAAGAGGAGCCAACTATAGATAGCTCGAACATTGATTTCGATGGCGACAGAGAAGAGGACAAGATGGAGGTCGAGGATGACGAGCCGGCGAAGACACAACAACCACTAGCGCCCAATGCAGCCAAGCGTATCATGACTACCATTACCAGCGTCCTACTGCCAACGCTTAATCGAGCCATCACCGAGAAGACCAATTATGATACCAAGCACAAAGTTAACCGTCGTCGCCTGAGCTACGAGCGGGAAGAGGAAGAAATACAACGCGTGCCCATTGCCTTAGCCATGGTTAAGCTCCTGCAAAAGTTGCCACAGGAGCTATTGGATAACAGTTTGCCAGGTACGTAAGATTCTATATATTCATGTACGAGCTATGTATAACAAAATCTCTTTCATTTTGCCAGGTATTTTTATGAAGGTGTGCACGTTCCTGCGATCGCCCCTCAAATCGGTTCGCATGCTTACCCGAGACATCCTAAAAAAGATGATGCTCACACTGGGCGGCAGCTGCCTGGGTCTGCTGCTGGAGCAGCTGCAGTCGTTGCTGACGCGTGGCTTTCAGGTGCATGTGCTATCGGTGACGCTGCACGGAGTGCTGGACGCGCTGCGTGGGCAACTGCAGCCGGCGCACATTGAGCTCTGCCTGCAAAACCTGCTGGAAGTAGCTCTCAACGACATCTTCGGAGACGTAAGCGCCGAGAAAGAGGTGGATAAAATCGTCGCGCACACACCTGAGGCCAAACCCAGCGCCAAGAGCTATTTGACGTTGAACATTGCGGCGCGGTTCATACGCGACAACTGTTTGCTGGACTTGCTGCTGCCCTTCAAGGAGCAGCTGGCACGCACACACTCGCGCAAGGTAACGCAAAAGATTCAGGAGTGCTTTGCCAAGATTGTTGCCGGTCTTGTGGAGAACACGCACATAGCGCGCGAGAGCTTGCTGATTTTCATCTACGGCACCATGTCGGAGAGCATCACTGACCTGCTGCCGGGCTCACAGAAGCGGCAGCTTAGCGACAAGCAGCAGGCTCTGATGCGTCGCGCCCGTCCCGACTGCCTGCTGTTGCAGCCAGCGCCAGGTCGTCGTAGCGTCGCGACCGGCAACAAGCAGGTCAAGTCCAATGCCCAAGCCAATGCACACATCCTCATCGAATTCGGGCTGGAGCTGCTACACTTTGTGCTGAAACGCAAAAAGCTAACAGAACTAAACTATCAGCCCTTCCTGCATCCGCTGCTGCCGCTACTGCGTGACGCCTTAAGCAGCAAACACGCCAAAACTACAAGCTATGCGCTCAAATGCTACACGGCGATTTGGATGGGCGACTACCAGCTGGCAGAGCTGAACCAAGAACAGCTGTGCCCGGTGGTAGGCCGCATGTTCGAGATTCTGAAAAACTTCTCGTCGTTTGGAGCCACGCGACAGGAAGAAAACGCTCAACTGGTGCGTGCCAGCTTTAAGGCGGTGGTAGCGCTGCTGCGAAAGTGTCAAGACTATGCCCTGAGTGATGAGCAGATCGAGCAGCTGCTTCTACACGTAGAGCAGGAGTTGCAGGAGGGAGAGTGCAGTAGTCAAACGATGTGCTTCGCCTTGCTTAAGGCACTGGTGGGACGCAAGGTGGACACACGCTCGCTACACGATCTAATGAAGCGTCTGGCCGATTTGTCCATTATCTCGCAGTCAGACCACGTGCGCGACGAGTCACGGACCATACTCATCACATACATTATGGAGTATCCCCTGCAAAAGCGCGTTGATCAGCTACTCAAGTTCATGTCCGTGCAGCTGGCCTACACCCAGTCCGCTGGGCGTTTGTCGGCAATTCAATTTATGCTATCAATTATCAACAAGTTCCCACTGCTGTTGTTGGTCAAGCATGCGGAGTTCTTGTACCTGTCGTTGGGCACGCGTTTGGTTAACGACGAGGACACCGCTTGCCGTCGCGCTGTAGCCACCGCTCTGGAGGCGCTGCTCGGCCGACTGAACAAATTGCAGCGTCAGCCGCTGCTTGACCTGACCATGCTATTCTTCACCTCGCCGCAGTCCAGCCAAAAGCCAGGTGTTCGCGAGTTGGCCGCTGCGCTGCTCTCCCGATTCGTGCAAGCAGAGCGTGCCGGCTTTGCAGAGCGACTTCCCGTCGTGCTACCCACGCTGGTGTCCGTGCTAACTCTGGGCGATGCGGAAGCAGGCGGCAAATTCGTACGCGCTCCTGGACACGTGGCACTTGATACCAACGGAATTAATTTGCCAAAAAAACCCCGACGAAAGGTGAGTAAATCTGTGATTTAATAGAACATCTATTTAATGTTTACTGACTACCATTTAGCAATCCAGTGGTGCAGCCAAGGAAGACGCGGTGCTCGATATGGAAGCAGCTTTGGAGCACCACCAACGCACCGTTGACCATCAGTTAATACAGCTGCAGTATTGTCTGCTGAAGATCTTCGAGCACTGTGGCGAGGCTCTGCTCAGCGCTCAGGAACTAGCGCCCTCAGTCGATGAAATAGCGTACGCCAGCCAGCGGCTGCTCGGTCACGAGCATAATTGGGTACGCTGCAATGCAGCCAAGCAGCTAACGCAGATTTTGGCGCACTACGACTACGCGTATGTGGGGCAGCAGTTGGTGGGCATCAAACGTGAGATAGCAGATGATGTCAAGGCGTTGGAATTTATTTACGCGCAGCCAGCGCAGGACATTAAGAGTTTGGTGTTAGACTTGTGTGCACAGGTGGTGCCTGGTGAGACTGCGCAGGAAATGATTGATGAGTTGGTCAAGCTTCTGCTTTTTGTTGCGCACATGGTCAGGGATGTGCCTTTCAGCATGAAACAGGAGGACGTGGGAGAGCAGTGCGAGCAGATACCAGCTGGCAAAATCAATCTCAACTGGCTTGTGCGCAACATTCGTATCCTAATCAATAAAGAGTTGTCCAAGGCGCCACACGATACCAGCATTGTAAGTAGCAGATAAAATGTTTCAAAATAATCGTTGGAATTAGCTAATTCCTCAATTTTTTCTTAGCGCACGGCTCTGTTCACACTCATCGAAGGGCTATCCACATTGCTGAGCACTGATGTAGTGACACGACTGGCTCCGGCCTTCCTGCAGGCACTTGTCCGCGAGATGTCGGAAGAGGATCAAAACGTCGATCCAGAGCTTCGCCAACTGTCACTTCGAGTTGGCAGCCGCCTGCGCAAACGCATCGGGGCTGAGACGTACGACAAACTGCGCAACGTTGTGCAGAACAAACTGATGGTGCGTCGTGCCGAGCGCCGCAAGGCTGTGGCTCAGGAAAAGATTCATGATCCAGTGCGGGCCGCCAAACGCAAGGCTGGTATGCAAGACCGCAAGAAGGCGGCCAAACGCCTGAAAACAGCTGTGGTGCGTGGAAAGGCACCCGATACGAAACATAAGCTCAAGAAACGCAAGCGCAAAGCGGAAATGGACGGTGTTTAAATATTTGTTTAACAATTATATAAATATACATGCATACATGGACCTCCCTGGAAGTTTTTTATAAGTTGCTTAAATATATTAATTTTTAATATGGCTTATAGTTTTCTAAGTTCAATAGAAATCCACTTTAGTAAATATCTGAATGGTATGGTATGTATGGTATTAGATTTTAATTATTAAGTAAGCACTATTCCGAAAATATCAGTTTAATATAATATATATATATATATAGATATATAGCTAGATATATACCAAGATATAACAGTAATTTACATAATTCTTATTGATACACATTTTACGACGAATATTAACTATAGAGTGGATTTAGTGTAGTTTGGACAAAACATGATCGCAGTTGGCCAGTCGAAGTAGGATTTTGGAGGCGTAGGCAAGAACCAGCATCACCAACGTGGTCACCTCCATAATAACGAAGTGCGATATAGATGAGCCTATTTCCAGCCAGGAGCCGGTATTTCGCACAAGAAAGAGAAAGTTTAAGCCCATGATGTCGCAGATAATCAGCAGGCATATGAAGATTTGTCGTTCCTGCTGACGAGCGTACTCGCTGTGGGTGTACACAATGGAAAGATTTATCACAATGGGCAGCACGAGCTTCAGTAGCACCAGCGACATGATCACGAACGGCGCAAAGTGGCTAAGAAAACAGCGTGCAATGTTTGGATCGAAGGAGCTGATCGATGCAATGTTTCCACTGCCAAAGAGGGAGAAGAATGTGTAAAGCAAAAGGGTAAAGGCTATACGTAAAGATGACTGCAGGCTGTCCTGCTGATGCTGCAATGGCTCTTTGTGTGCACGTTGGGCGGTCAGCGCCATTGCCAATTCCATTGTCAGCAGCTGCACGAACAACGACTCATATGAGGTGCACATCAGCGTATATAGTGCCCCCAAATTGTAGCAAATCTGCGCCAGGCGCGCTTCCAGGACCGTCTCCTTGCTCAGCTGTATGGATACGAATGCATACACCAAGTACAACCAACTGACAATTTTCAGTGGCAGTGGTACGGCGATCTGGTGACTATGCAAATACACGCACACAGCTGTATTTACTAAAATAAGAGAATTGCACCATTTAGTGTGCATTCTGTAGCTTCGACGTTCACTGCTCAAGAACGCACGCAGCAGAAGAAGCACAATACCAGCCAGCAGCAAATAACAGTTCTGGTACCCCACTGAGGGCGGTAACACTGGAAAGCAGGCAAGGGCTATTACTAACAGAAACCATAGGTAAAATTCCGCTGTGTTGAGCTTAAATGTGCGCCAGTTGCTATAACATGCAAAAGCAAAAAAGCAAAGAGAAATCAGGCGACGCTCAATGAATGTGAAAACTAAGAGCTCGGCGCAAGCAATGAGCAGCAGTAACTGGGCCACGGAGGCCTGCGCTTGACGAGCAACTGCTGGTTGGGCATAAGCCCTTGCGTCGACGGCGCTGCTGTTGTTGTCTGTGGCTTGCCATAGGGCCAACATCCACACGGGTAATGGCAGGAGCAAATAAAAGCTTACGGAGAGTGGAACACGTTGTGCTACTAAGAAGCCGATCAGAAGCACAGCTGCCACACATAGTCCAAAAATGATCCCGGATGCGTGATTATTCACAGTCGATGCGACTTTTTTGGGTGCTGCTTCCTGAGTTAGTAGGCGATATAAATAAAATATCCAGCCCAAAAAGGTGGCCGTTGTGCATATTAACAGCGCGTTGCAGTAGTAACCGTGGTAGTAATCGATTCCCTCTAGTGCCAGTTGCATTATAGTTTCACTGTTTGTCAGCGATTTCTCAAATTCCTTCAGCTGTAGCTCTTCAACGGTCGAAGATATATAGGAATCCATCAGCTTAGATGTCAGTTTGTTGAAACTGTTCAAAAGTGGTGCAAAGAGGCCACGATTGTGCTGCTCCTGCAGACTAACATATTGGGCCAGAAGCTGCAGTGCATTGCTGTGGGCTGCCATTGCCTCGTACCGGTCACCAGCACTCATGAAGCCATATGGCAATATGCCGAAATTGTTCATTGGCGGCGGTAGACCAATTAACGCAGACATTAGTGGCGTTAATTGCGCCTGTTCCAGTTGGCGCAGCGGCAATTCCAATCCCTTATCATTGACTTCAAAGTTGATGCCCGTGTAAGTTCTTTCAGCCACACCAGCTCCCCAGAGCATAAACGGTGTTTCTGTTTCATGTTGAGCGCCAGAACCGTGAGAGCCTAATAAATAACAGGCATACAAGTATTTTACATCAAACCAATCGTAATTTTGTTTACCTGAATCCGTCATCCCGTGATCTGATGTGAGCAAATATGCCGTTCGCTGATCGGGAAAGATCTCTTCAAATAGCTTGTAGATCTCCCAAACTCCACGCTCTGTGAACTTGAGGTTCTCAAGAAAAAGTGGAGTACCCGGCTTGTGCACATGGCCGGCTGTGTCTAAGCCAAGCAGATGTAGAAAAAACACTACCCTTTTGGCGTTCTGTAGCTCCTTCTGCTTCCGTTGCAGCAGCAAGCGCACCCTGTCAAACACCCACTCGTCTTGTTTGAACGTCTTGTGCTGGCCTGAGAAGTCTAGGTCATGATTATAGGCATCAAAATGCATTGGGCGGCCACTATCGGCAAGCTTTTCGAATATGTGTAGAACATCCTGAGCACCCCACGCGTACGTTTGGTCACTGCGGTTGAACACAGTGTCGAACTCAATTGGGTTCTCTTTCCAGCCCTTTGTAACCGCCGAAGGGTCCTCGTACAATCCAGCTATCAGCGCTATATGTCCGGGACGTGATTCTGTAGGGACACGGGTGCGCGATATGCCGACTATTCCTTCCTTCATAAATATTTCGCGTAAGTGAGGCACATGATTGCATTTGTTGGCGAAGAACGATTCCGCCCGCAGTCCATCGGTGACTATCAGAACCAAGCGGTCCGCCGGCGGCTCAGCCTTCAGATTTTTCTGTGGCTGCAGTCCTTCTATAACAGGCGACCGAAAGTATATTACGAATATGGATCCCAGCAGCAACAAATGCACCAACAAAGCATAAATTATCCACATTGCCGCATTTAAATCAAAACACTGACATCAGCTGTTGACATTTTGTTTTGGTATCGAGTATATTTCGTCTGAATATTTATCGATAGGCGTATCGAAAATAGTTTTGTTCGATGAGCAGTATTTTTAAGCAGAAATACCACCAGTGAGAAAGTTCTAAGCACTTAAGTACAATGAATGAATTTTTACTCTATCATGTTTGAATGAAATTCTTAAATTTAATTAAGAAACGTTGTTTTAAATAATTTAAAACATATACTGGCTGCCAAACAACGTTAAGAGCTTGTGAATGATATAAACTTATAGCATGAGAATTATCAATAATATTTATTCAAGGATTTCCAACAATGATAAACAAAATATAGTTAAAAAGGATCAATAATAATAAACCTTTTACACAACAAACAAAACGCTAGACGGAATTAAAAAGGTATCGAGCCAGCAAGAAGAACTATGGAAATAATTCCTTTAAATTACAGAAGTAACTTTACACAATATCCAACACTAGTTTTTTATTGATGCTAATAATGCAGCAGCTGCGTTATTGCGTGAGCCGAGGATGGGCATGGAACCGGCTGTACTCCTCGAAGGCACAATCAGATGTTTATGATGTGGTTGTCATTGGAGGCGGGCATGCCGGTACAGAGGCGTGTGCAGCTGCTGCCCGCATGGGCGCTCGCACATTGTTGCTGACCCATAAACTGGACACAATTGGTGAGATGTCGTGTAATCCGTCTTTTGGTGGCATTGGAAAGGGACATCTTATGCGTGAAGTGGACGCCCTCGACGGTGTTTGTGCTCGTTGCTGTGATGTTTCCGGTGTTCACTATAAAGTGCTAAATAAGCGCCGCGGACCGGCAGTGTGGGGACCAAGAGCACAGATTGACCGCCAGCTATACAAGCGGGCGGTGCAGCAGGAGTTGTTCAACACCCCAAGCCTGCAGATCCGAGCAGCGGCCGTGGATAATCTTCGAATCGATGCAGATGAAACCGCCAACGGTGGGGCGCGCTGTAATGGAGTACTTTTAAGCAACGGAGAGCTGGTTCACAGTCGCTCGGTGGTGCTCACAACAGGTACTTTTCTGCGTGCGCACATCAACATCGGGCTAGAAGTAAAGGAGGCAGGTCGCATTGGGGATAAGCCCGCCAAGGCGCTCGGCGAGGCTCTGAACAGACTGGGCTTTCGCATGGGTCGCCTGAAGACTGGAACACCGCCGCGTATTGCTAAGAATAGCGTGGACTTTTCCAAATTAGAGAAGCACGAGGCCGACGATCCGCCAACGCCGTTCTCGTTTCTTAATCATGAGGTTTGGCTGTCCGCCTCGGAGCAGCTACCTTGTTATCTGACCTACACGACGCCACGTGTCAATGAAATTGTGCGTGATAATTTGCACGTCAATCGGCATGTCACCGAGGAGGTTACGGGACCGCGCTATTGTCCTTCGATTGAGTCAAAGGTGTTGCGGTTCGGTGCCAGGGTTCACCAGGTTTGGCTAGAACCAGAGGGTTTTGACAGCCCGCTATGTTATCCGCAGGGTATATCGTGCACCCTGCCGCACGCTCAGCAGGTCGAACTGGTGCATGCCATTAAGGGCCTGGAGCAAGCTGAGGTGGTACAGCCCGGTTACGGCGTAGAGTACGATTTCATTGATCCTCGCGAGCTATATCCGACGCTGGAAACGAAGCGCGTGTCGGGCCTTTTCTTCGCCGGTCAGTTGAATGGCACTACAGGCTACGAAGAGGCCGCAGCCCAGGGAATCATAGCAGGGGCGAATGCTGCAGGTAAAACTCGGCACCAGGATGGCCGCCAGCTACATATTAGCCGTACTGAAGGCTACATTGGCGTACTAATCGACGACCTCACCTCTCTGGGCACCAATGAACCGTATCGCATGTTCACCAGTCGAGCTGAGTTCCGACTTTCTCTGCGGCCAGATAACGCCGACATGCGTCTAACGCAGAAGGGCTACCAATTCGGACTGGTCAGTGAGCAGCGCTACCGGCACTTTCAGCAGACGGAGCACAAGCTTAAGACCGGCATAGAGGCGCTGAGGGGCTTGCAGAAGCACAGCAATTTCTGGCGGCAAGCACTGGGCCTGCCACAAGCCAAGGTGTCTATACAGAAATCTGCGTTTGACATGCTTGCTGTGCCTGCAGACAACATTTCGGTTAACCAGCTTATAGATCTGTGTCCAAGCGAGCTAAGCTGGTTACGGGACGACAACGACTTGGCTACAAGACTGAAGATAGAAGCACTCTATTCGTTCTTTGTGGATGAACAGCAGCGTGACGTGGAGGATGTACGACGGGAGGAGAGCTTGTGCATTCCCGGCGACATCGACTATTTCTCCAAATCTCTGAGCTTGTCCAATGAGGAGCGTCAAAAACTGACCCTTATACAGCCACAAACGATTGCCGCAGCCAGCCGCATCCAGGGCGTAACGCCGTCGACAATCCTGCGAATATTAAAGTACGTCAAGAAGGTGGATGTCTTACGTGCATCACAGCATAGTTCATAACGCAATTACTATTATGGGCATTCGCTTTTAAGTTTGATCAATTTTGTTATGTTTGGAATACTTTTCGAATATATAGGTACCTTTACCAAAGTTGAAACTAATTGTCCTATTTTAGTAATTTAGGTATATATTATGCATGAAGGTGAAAAAAAACAGGTTTCTCGCCTTTCCTCCAATTGGGATGGAAAGCGCAGGTAATTTATCAGTATCTCGGGTAAATGACAAATTATTTTGAATGTTATAACTATTTTGAATTCGCACGGATCCCTACTATCAATTGGGATTACAAAAATTATTTGAAAAAAGGTGTTGACCAAAAATCGATTTTTGATGATTTTATGGAATATCTCGGCCAAAAATTGTTCGATTTTAAAATTGTACACCATTTTGGACTCGTAAGGATCAGTACTATCGATTGGCATCAAAAAAGGGACAATCTAAATTTTGACCCAAATCGACCAAAAATCATCACGTTTTTTATCAAAATCGGGGTCGGATCGAAAATCAAAACTTTTTTGATGATTGTTTTGTAATATCTCGGCCAAATAATGTCCGATTTTGGAATTTTATACTATTTTGGACTCGTAATTGTCAGTACTATCAATTGGCATCAAAAGTTTTAAAATCAAAATTTTGACCCAAATCGGCCAAAAAGCAAGGGGTTACATCATGTTTTTTATCGAAATCGGGGTCGGTTCGAAAATCAAAACTTTTTTGATCCTTTTTTTTAATATCTCGGGTAAATATTGTCTGATTTTTAAATGTGATAGCTTTTTGAATTCGTACTGATCCCTACTATTAATTGGCATTCAAACAAATTAAAAATCGATGGCTCCGAAAATGTTTTTGAACAAAAAACGAGTCGTTTATAAAGTCAACCTTTTTTGATGATTTTTTTTGAATATCTCGTTCAAAATATGTTTGATTTTAGAATTTTATACCATTTTGGACTCGTAAGGATCAGTACTATCGATTGTCATAAAAAAAGGGACAATCTAAATTTTGACCCAAATCGATCAAAAATCAAGGGGTTACATCACGATTTTTATCAAAATCGGGTTCGGTTCGAAAATCAAACCTTTTTTGATGATTTTATGGAATATCTCGGCCAAAAATTGTTCGATTTTAAAATTGTACACCATTTTGGACTCGTAAGGATCAGTACTATCGATTGGCATCAAAAAATAGAAAATCTAAATTTTGACCCAAATCGACCAAAATGGCAAGGTTAAATCAAGTTACATCACAATTTTTATCAAAATCGGGTTCGGTTCGAAAATCAAACCATTTTTGATGATTTTTTTTTGAATATCTCGGGCAAATAAAGTCTGATTTTCAAATATTATACCTTTTTGAATTTGTATGCTTTCTGGCGAAATTATGACGTTTGAAAACGACATAGCTCCGCCGCTGATCATGGCGAGTTTTTGTCGTTTTGAAGCGACATAACTCCGCCGCTCTAAAAACGACATATATCCGCGGAAGATATGACGTTTGAAAACGACATAACTCCAATTTTGGACATGTAAGGATCAATACTATCGACTGGATCAATACTATCCGCGGAAGATATGACGTTTGAAAACGACATAGCTCCAATTTTGGACTCGTAAGGATCAATACTATCGACTGGCATCAAAAAATAGAAAATCTAAATTTTGACCCAAATCGACCAAAATGGCAAGGTTAAATCAAGTTACATCACAATTTTTATCAAAAGGGGGTTTGGTTCGAAAATCAAACCTTTTTTGATGATTTTTTGGAATATCTCGGCCAAATAATGTCAGATTTTGAAATTTTATACCATTTTGGACTCGTAAGGATCAGTACTATCGATTGGCATCAAAAAATAGAAAATCTAAATTTTGACCCAAATCGACCAAAATGGCAAGGGGTTACATCACGATTTTTCTCAAAATCGGGGTCGGATCGAAAATCAAAGCTTTTTTGATGATTGTTTTGTAATATCTCGGCCAAAAAATGTCCGAATTTATAATTTTTTACCTTTTTGAATTCGTACGGATCCCTACTATAATTTGGCATTCAAAGAAATTAAAAATCGATTGGTTTAAAAAAGTTGTTGACCAAAAATCGATTTGTTTGTAAAGTCAACTTTTTTTGATGATTTTATGGAATATCTCGGCCAAAAATTGTTCGATTTTAAAATTTTACACCATTTTGGACTCGTAAGGATTAGTACTATCGATTGGCATCAAAAAAGGGACAATCTAAATTTTGACCCAAATCGACCAAAAATCAAGGGGTTACATCACGTTTATTATCAAAATCGGGGTCGGTTCGAAAATCAAAACTTTTTTGATGATTTTTTTTAATATCTCGGGTAAATATTGTCTGATTTTGAAATGTGATACCTTTTTGAATTCGTACTGATCCCTACTATTCATTTAAACAAAAATCGATGGGTTAAAAAAAGTTGTTAACCAAAAATCGATTCGTTTTTAAAGTTACCCTTTCTTGATGATTTTTTGGAAAATCTCGTCAAAATAAAGTCCGGTTTCGAAATTGTATACCATTTTGGACTCGTAAGGATCAGTTCTATTGGGCTTGAGAGTCATTTTAAAAATTATTAAATAAGTTATTTAATTACCAATCGCTTTAGCTTTGAAAAAAAAGACATGATTATAATCTCTTACGTACAGTTTATTCAATAAAATCATAAATGCCTTAAGTAAAGTTGCACAAGATTGTTATAATTTGTTGGATGTGTCAGGCTTTTGTTGCTTGCCACACGTTTGAGATAATTTGTAGTTATTGGATGTGTTGGTTGTTGCACGTTATGTTATTGTTATGATCATACATTCAACTGTTGCTCAAAATATGCTGCTCGATGATCTCTATTTGGAATTGTTGGTTAGCTTAAAAATTATGTTTTACACTTTGTATTCTGTTTTACACACACAACGAAGATTGAGGGAGAAATACGTTTAATTTATGTATTTTGTTTAAGGTTTGTATTTGAAACTATTATGCGTTATTTATTTGCATTCGCATTTTGTGGATTAAGTTTACATATATTTATGCGCACCATTTCATATCCATTGTAGCCGCATGCATTGTATTATCCAAGAACTATTACGATTCCACTAGTTTACAAATTTACACAAATATTACGATCAACAGTTTCTGATAGTTGTTTTTATGCTCTGTTTGACAAACTCACGCTGATTTTAAAACTGCCAACCAAAAATTTCTATTGTTTGTATTTTCAAGTGTTTAATTTCTTTTGCTCATATGAAGTTGCGCATACTATATAGAAAACTGATTTTAAGAACTGATCAAATCGAATCGTGGCGGCAATTTTAAATGCATAACATGTATCAGATTCCATAGACCGGATGTCTTGTAAACTAGTGTTTTTTTTAATAAAAATATTTTCACTTTCAGTTTAACTGATACCTTCATACCCACATCTTAGTTTTATTTAAGTTCTTTTTATAAAGTTGTTTCAATAAGGAAAAGAAAACATGGATTTGCATATGTCGGAATTGGCATGGAAATGCATATTCGGAAAAAGTCTTGCATGCACTCGTAAAGTCCATTTCCACACGATCGCTGCGACAATGATTTATATTTGATTTTTAGATATTAGCGCTTCAAATGGTTAGCCGACGTTCGAATGCTATAACTTGTCAAGTTTTCTTTTTGTTTGTTTTGTTTTATAATATCACAGATTGCTCGAGATTTTTATGCTTAAAAAAATAAATTAAATCTTTATTTTAGGCAATCTCAAACACAAGTACGTTTGGGTGCGAATTGTGAGTAAAGAGCTGAGAGTTAACTAAAACTGGACAACTAGTGAATACCTAGAGGCTTTCAATGTCTTACTTGGATGTCAGGTATTAGCTACTTAACATGTATGCACCGATGAAGCATGAACATGAAATTTAATGGGAATGAGAGCCTTGTTACAATAATATAATTCTTGGGTATGTTTAGGGCTTGCTTAGTTTCGAATATTTGCTAGTTTTTGGTTAGTCTGCATCTGTATCAATTATATGTAAGTGCCCGATGGCAATACTATAAAAATTGTATAAAAACTAAAGGGAACATAATATAGAAATGCGCTTATAAGGGCCAAAAAGTTGCTCACATAAGTGTACGAAAAAAATTCGACAATTTCGAAAAATAATTTAAGCCTTTCGCGATTTTGCTAATCCATTCCAGATTATCCATTTTGATTTGTTTTTGTTTTACCTAAATTTCAGTTCCGTTTTATCCACCTTGTATTTGAGTTCAATTTACATAATACATATACATACATTATCTTTTTCGTTTTCTTTTTCGTACTCTCCAAATCACAATTATTAGCAATTTAAGAATAAAATACAACTATTCAGTATGAATGTTTCGTTTCCGTTTGTATATATAAATTTCTTACGAGCTTTTTAATCTAAATTTTACAACTATCTTTAAATCGCACGGGCTGTCTTCAGAGGGAGACTTTCTATACGCACGCAAACTACATTCAGAGGTTCTTTGAATTAGACAGATTAAGCACATGCCTAAAATTCTTATTGTTTTAATGCGATATAATTCATTTGAGTATCTCACAATATTTATATTTGTATTTATACAATATTAACTTTACATTTCATGCAATTGTAGTTGACCTTTGCACGAATTCCAAACTCTACATCTGCATGGATGTAATCGAGTTGTGGAATTGTGCTGAACTTTGGATAAACATTAGATTGTAACACCGAGAACAAACAAATATGTGATATCTGCTAAGGGGATTTACATGATAGGTATGCATATTAATGTACGTTTATATGGCGGCTTATGCTCCTCATGGCCAATAGTTAATTCTAAGCCGACTATCTTTTTTTTTTAGCGAGCGGGTTCCCTAAAGCTTTAGAAACTCGTCGAGCATCCGCTTGCGCTGTTGATGGAGTGCCCGTTCCGACAGAAGATACATCCCAATATCGCCAAAGTTTTTCATTAGTTAGTTGTTCGAGTTGCTGAACAGTTGGTGTCATAAGGCTGTTGCCTCCTCGGCGGTATTGCCGCGGCCAAGTGTCTGCACCGCACTCTTGTTGTCTTCTAAAACAAAAAATACAATTTTATTAAAACTTTATGGTTCTTACAAATATTTTATGATTATTCATCTTATTGAGAAGTGAGTAAAGTTGTATATAATCTAAATTAATATATTTTCAGTATCTCGCATTTTCCTAGCTTTTACTGCCAGTAGGAGCTATACGATATATAGGTCTGATCCGGTCGGTTCCACCATAGAGAAGGATCTGTGTTTTATGACGATAGCTTAAAGACTGAGAAGCTAGAAACATCCAGATGGAAAGCCGGACACTGCTATATCAACTCAGATGTTTGTCGTAAAAACGTATATGTGTACCTAATACCCTCACAAGGGTAAGAAACTGAGCTGAAAACAAAACAAAAACTGATGCCAAGAAATTGAAATGATAAGAGAACATGAATTATAAACAAAATGATTTATTTGGGCAACTCTAAGCAAACATTTGACAATTAAATAAAAAGAAATCATAATAGATAATAAGTATGTAATAATAATGTTAATAATAAGCATGTATTTAAAAAAACACGGTAATTGTTTTCCACCTAGACGATGATGAGGATGATGCAATACGTTACAAATTATTGTATACTCGTTTATAAATAGGCATTTGGATTAACGGCTAAGTTGAAGGTAGATGTTAACTAGTTTCGATCTCACGAGCTACTCCCAGAAAGTCAGTCGACTTTCCACAAATGATGCAGTAGCTGAATGAAGACACTTCTGTTTCTCTTTGATTAGATAGGATCATCTGGATGCCTCGGCAATAGGCGTGGCACTTGTGGAGACCTCGTCAGCAGCAGCAGGCGCTGCTGCCGGCGCAATATTCGCGCTGCCGCTGTTGGTGCTGCTGCTCACCACCGGCGGGGAGTTGCTGCCACTTGTGGTGGACGTGACCGCGCTGCCACCGGACACACATGTCGCGTCGTCCGGCGAGAGCTTGGCTCGCTGTGTTGGTTCTGGCTGCTCTGACTGCTCCTGCTTGCTGGCAGGCGGCGTACAGGCAGCCAGAACCTTTGGGCAGAGCTCCGCACTGCTATTACCTTGTGGGCCGCCGGTTGCCGCTCCAGCTCCAGCTCCGGCTCCGGCTGCCGAGCTGCTCGAGTTGTTGGTGTTGGTGTTCGCGTTGCTGCTGCTGTTGTTGTTGTCCGTATTGGGCGGACTGGCGCTACGGCGTGACGCATTCTCCGGCGAGCTGTCCGGCAGCAGCGTCTTTTCCTGGCTGGCGTTGGCACTCGGCGTGGCCGGCTTCTTTTCGAGAGCCACAGGCGGTGTGGCGCTCTGCAGTGCGTCCTCCTTAACGGCAGTCTGCGGAGTCAGCAACTCCTTGGCTTCCGTGGGCCCGTTGGACTCAATCCCGTTCAGCTCATGTGCAGCGGATGTGCTGTTGCTGGCGCTCGACTGCGCCTGGTTGCTCGAGTTTGAGTTGGAGCCGGTCAGGTCCAGCGTAGCCGGCTCGTGCGTGTGTGGACCTGCTGCCGGTACGCCGGTCTTCTCTAGCAGCACCGACTGCTGCTGGGCGGCCGCAGCGACGACAGCCGCAATATGGTGGCGCATGGCGTGAGGGCTGTTGGCGGCGCGGGATCCTCCATTGGGCGCCGAGCCGAGTGGCGGCGTAATCTTGGGCGACGTCGGATGAGCTGCGGCGCTTATGGGCTGCTGATGGGCGGCGACGGGCGTCAAGCCGCTGGCAGCCGCCGCTGCGTGTATTGCCGCCAGGTGGCCATGGTGATAGTAGTGGCTCATGGTCGGAATGTGCGAGCTGGCCGTGGGCGTGGACGTCGTCTGAGCCATGCTGCTGGTAGCCACCGTTAGATTGAGGCTGCTGTGTGGCGACGCGGACGTGGCTGCCGTGCTGCTAGCCACTCCGGGACTGGGGCCCGCCGATGAGCTGGCCACAGAGTGCGGCGGCAGCTGGTGCACAGCATGGTGCGGCGAGAGGTGAGCGTGACTCAAATTGAGGCTGTGTGGATGCGGACCCAGGCCCAGGGCAGCGGCTGCCGAAAAGCCGGGATGTGTAAGGCCGGCCGCACCAGGATGTCCGGCCAGGCCCATGGCTGCCTGCTGTAAATGATGCTGCAGATTGGTTGGCCCGTGTCCAGGCAGCGAGGGCATGCCGGGCATGCCTAGGTTGAGGCCCATAGGGCTCTGGCGCTGCGCATTGGCCGCCGCCGCGTGATAGTGCGACATGCTAGAGAGACTGTGCAGGCCGCCGGGCGGGCCACGCAGGCCCAGGCTGATGTGCGGTATCATGGAGCCGAGCAGGTTGCGGTTGAGCGGCGCGTACAGCTGGTTAGAGTAGTGATGCGTAACATTGAGCATTTGCTGGCGTTCCCGCTCCCTGGCCTCACGCTCCTCCTCGCGCATTTTACGCTCGCGCGCCTCCTTCTCCTTCTGTTCCTTCTCGCGCTGCTCCTTTTCGCGCTGCTCACGTTCCCGCTCGCGCTGTTCGCGTTCTCTTTCGCGCTGTTCCTTTTCACGCTGCTCGCGCAGTTCGCGTTCCTTTTCGCGCTGCATTTCACGCTCGCGCTCCTCTTCGCGCGCCAGACGCGCCCGGTGCTCCTCTTCCAGCTTGATTCTGTCGTGCATTGCCGGCGAAATGCCCAGAGCTGCGCCCGGCATCATCGAGTACAGATGTGAATAGGGCGATGCCATCGGCGGGTACAGTGCCGCCGCGTGCGGATGCGTGTGATGCCCGCTAGCCGCCCGGAACAGCTGATAGCGATGCTCCAAGTACAGCGGATCCGAGTAGGGCAGACCCGCCGCCGGATTCAGAAATGCTGTAAAAATAGAAATCGATGAGTCATTAGTTGTCATTAGTCATTAGTTATGCATGCATTATTTATCAGTGAAACTAGGATTTGAGTTATGAACTGAACTAATCATGAATTTAAAGCAATCACACTCGCCGATCAAGTCTGATTTAAATCATTAAAATCCTCCGATTCCATTAAATCGATAAAAATCGAAATCGATATCGATATATTGCTAGCCAGAGACAAGAAATTTAATATTGTGGACATCCAGATATATTGATTGGATATTGGAAATAAAAGGCTTTATTTTAGACTACAAGTTATAATCGAAAATTCTTACTTCCGAGAAATCCTATTTAAATTTCTAAACCAGACGATTAAACATTTTACTCATATGTCTTCGGTCGTGACTAACCTGACCTTTGAACTATACAATTTGTTTGATATGTTCAAAGTTTAGAGCTATCTAAAGGAATCGGATTTCTGGTCGTGCTTACCTGCTGGGGGAATGCCGGGCAGGCCGGCAAAGTGCGAGTAGGCCTCCAGGGGGAAGGCACCTGCCGGATGCATGAGCCGCTCATCGGATCTGTAGGGCTGAAAGCCGCTGCGCGCCAGCAGCTCCGGCTGCATGGCTGCCGCCTGCGGCGTGTGACTGAGCCGTGCCATTTTCTCTGGCGGCTGCGGCGAAGGCGGCGAACGTTTCTTGTTGGCAGCGAGGCGATCCTCGACAGCGACGCCGCCAGACGAAACCCCACCGCGTCCGGCCACCGAGTTGAGCGCCACAGGTCCGGGTCCGGCGTTGGGCGGCGGCTGGGCAGCGGATGTGGGAACGTTGCGCTCTCGGGCTGCCGTGTTGGCGTCATCCTCCTCCTTGATGTCCGCCTGCTTGGCCAGCGTGCGCAGCGCAGCTGCAAACGAGCCACGCGCGCTGGCCGCCGATGCTGCATTGATGGCGCCAGGAGGCACTCCGACGCCCACGCCCGCCAGCTGTTGCTGCACAGCTGCGGCGACTGCCTGTTGATGCGCTTGATGCTGCTGCTGCTGCTGCTGTTGATGCTGCTGCTGCTGCTGATGCTGCTGTTGGGGTGACTGGGCGCCAATATGGTTGGTGGGCAGGGCGTGGTTCAGCAGTGCGCTGTTCGACGTGGGCGGCGCCGGGCTATTCGCAACAGACGCCCCTGGAACGCTGCTAGAGTTTGGCGGCGTCTGCAGATGGTGCGGCACGGGTATGTGGGGAGCTGGGCTGGTAGCCGGTCGCTTCTGTCCAGCCTTGGGCGGCACTGCAAAGGGAGAATCAAAAAAAAAAAGAAGACAGTTAGTTTCCAGCAATCATTTGGTTAGTTCACCAGCTAATCTTCTAGTTGTTGTTTACCCGCTGGATCGAATGATCTGATATAGATTATGTAGAGCAGGTTTCAAGTACACTAACCAACTGCTCCGATACAGATTAGTCACCCAGAAAGGCCTGAAGGAATGTGTGAACATCCTGTGCTAATAACTGATTGATGTCGTTCCGCTTGCAGCAGAGACTCGAAAATTGCGCTTACGCCTCGCTGCATTTGATATGGGGCCCGGGAACGGCAGAGTCCATCGCCGGGTTACCAAAATGCAAATGCGAAGTCCTGAAACTTGAATTTCGGACACGGACACGGACATGGACATGGGCAGCGTCCTGTCCACGCTGTCCACGTAACTCGTTCTTTTGAGAACCTCTGTTCACGGCGCAAATTGCACGCCCAACGAGTTTATCGATTCTTGTTGCTCGTTTCGCTCGGGCCAAATTGCTTTCAGATATGACAACCACGCCCCGTTGCTCCGCCCCTTTCAGGTCAGCGACAGCAGCAACACAGGTGCCTTCTGTGTCCCGACTCGCATTCAATGCCAGAATGGAATTTGCTGAGCTTGGCGACGCCGCCGACAATGAAAGCCATTTGTCGCGTTCGTCGTGCACAACGGCAACTGGATTTCATCATCATCATCCTCTGGATCATAATCCTCGCTGGCCAGAATCTTATTGTCTTCAGTATTTAAAGTGTACACAGTTCCTTTGTTCTTTGAGTACACCTGTACATATTTCCGAAAACTATATCTAACTAGTTTAATGTGCTTCTGTTGTCATTAATTAAATAGTTATAGCTTGCTGGCATAAGAAACTTTAGAGTAAGGGGGAACAGGTGCTGGCTCCATAAAAGAAATTCGTTTTCGATTTTTTTTATTCGTTTTATTGAGTAGAATGTGGCTCGAATCGACAAAAGTCTGGTCACCGAATCGTAGAAGTTTTCATTAAATGCACGAAATGCATTCAAGGATTTTTATGTGCGTGCCTCGCAAATGCAGCCGGGCGCAAAGCCTGCGCCTGCCTGTCCCCGGGTGCAGATGCTGCTGGCGGTGGCGTTGCCATCCGACAGGGGGAACAACAACAGCAACAACGGTTGCCTAAGCTCCTGGCTGGATTGGTTGCACTGGTTGAAACTCCACGCGCGAGGGGGGACGGGGACGGACAAGGGCACGGGTACTCTGGGTAGGCAAATTTACCGATGGACGGCAGCAGGAGGGTCACGGCGTGAGAAAGGGATGATGCACGAGGCATGTGCTGCATGTGTATTTACCAAACTAAACCGAAATAATGCCCGAAACTGCTGCAGCAACAGCAACAACAACAACAACCCGTTCTCGGCTACAACAATAAAATGCAAACGACTGCAAAAGCGACTGAGTCCCGATCCGTGCCCCTGCCCCAGCCCCAGCCCCAGCCCCTGTCCCCTGTCCCCGTCCCTGTCCGTGTCCGTAGCCGTTGCGGGGCTCACAAACCAAACAAAGGCGCCTCCGCCGATTTCGATGCCAATGCCGCCGTATTTGCCAGTTTGCCTAACTGCGTGTGGGTCGACCTGGGATCTGGGAGCTTCAGAGCTGGCTGCCAACTGCTGACGCTGGGTGGGGCAGCCAGCAGATTCTCGGTTCAGCTCTGCTCTCGACGCTCTTGTTTGCCATGAAATGCCTGTTTGTTTGCATGGGTTTTGTGTACTTCAACATGGCCGACGCTGTAGTCCCTCGACATCGCCTCCCGCTCCCGCTACCCCTTCCCATGCCAATGCCCATGCCCATCTCCAACCACCCATGTGGCTTGGCGCCCTGCTCTGGTTTCGCATTGGGCGGCGATTTGCAAGCATCAGCGATATTTGCCGAATTTAATCAGAACACCAACAGGAGAGTGCCCCAGCTTGACGCAACGTGCCTCAACTCGACTCGACTCGACTCTTAAAGGCTGAATTCCAGGCTGTTCCATCAATATTTTGCCAACAGTTTTGCCCTTTTGTTGTGTCAGCGTAAACTATTTGCGTTTTTTTGACAAACCCATATAGACCTGAGATGACAGATTTCACAATTTTTTTTGTCGGATTATGCAATCGTTTATGCTCAGGTTGCCCTAGACATCACATTCCCAAAGTGTCCATACGACTGTATGGACATTCAATATATTGTAATTTTAACTCTACTGACGACTTAGTTCTTTCGTCTTACAAGCTTGGGGTTCGAATATTTCAAAATCCCATCTGAGTGCTCAATATCCCGGCAAATGCATTCGCACATATTCCACACGCTCAGTTTAAATGAAAATTACTTTTAGATTTTTTTTGTGCAAATTGTATTCTTAGTTGTACTTAATTTTGTGTGTAAAGTGAATTTATTTTCGATCGAGTTGCCAGCATCGAGACTTGATCTGTGGCCAAATTTCGCTCGACTTGTTTTGGCTTATTGACTCGCCAAATGCTTGTCGGTTAATTTGTCCATGCAAATGCAATTTGCGCAAAGTCAATTAAATGGCCAAACCCAAACCACATAAAACAAATCATAACTGCCAATAAATAAACGTTGAATAAATTAGGCACACTCCAGTCTGTGAATCCTGTTGCTGTTGTTGTTGTTGTTGTCATTGCATTTGGTTCAATGCTGCAAAATTGGTTTTCTCGCTCGGGTAAATTAAAATGTCACCACTCGAATGGCCAAAATGTAAGCACCGAGCAGACAACCGACTAACCAACCGACCGACCAACCGACTGACTATCCAGCGATTCACATTTACACAACCACATAAACATTGAGCAGCCCCCGCCCTCTGACCCCAGCCGCACCCGCACACATTTAAATAGTAGTTGCCAGCATTGAATTCCTTTGTGCCAGCGGATGGGTCACGGATGCGGTGGGGCGATGTCGGGGTACCCCGGGGGCAGTCGCCGGTTGCATGCGATTATTCTACCACAACTAATTACAGTGGCAAACGGCAAACGGCGAGGCTGCCCCTCGTGCCGCTGCCTGCTCCTGTGGCCAGGACATGTTTAGGTCAGCCGCAGCACATGCACAAGGAGTGCAATCGAGCGGAGTATGAATAATTTATTTAATAAATACATTCACAATTAAATCAATTGCAAATTTGTGAGTGCCATTAGGAATGCGGCATGAGGCATGTGGCATGCGGCATGTGGCAAGTAGCAAGTGGCAAATAGGCGTGGGCCCATTATCGACCCCTGGTTGCAATAATCTAAAATTCAAGTGCTGCCAAAATTAGTAGGATATAAAAGCTTAGAATGCTCCAGTTGCGAGTACTCGAGTAGGACACAAAAATGTAATCAGAATTAGAATATTCCCTCAAGTAGTTGAAGTTAAGAAAAGTGCTCTTCAAGAAGAAACAGCAGAACGAGGAGGCACGTTCGAGTCCTAGGATAGATAAGTCTATAGTTGACGCTATATTTACCATATATCACAAGCAAATTTTAAATCGTGTTTAGTATACTTTAAGAGCATGTTGATCTATTGCAATTTATAGCATGTATCCCTAAGATCCAGATAACATTGTAACCACACTCTACTTTCACAGTCTTTCGCATGGTGGGATCAGCAAGTGCTGATCGCATCTGAAACTGAATTGATGAAAGAACATATCTGACTGGAACTTAGTCACAGACAGGCTGTCTGTATGCAATAGCTAAGCTAAGTAAACAAACATATGTTCTTCTATATTTATGTACTTGTAATCAGCTCATAAGCTGAAGGAGAGGAGGCTGTGAGCTTGGAAATGGACTTGGTCAACATGCGAACATGGTTCTAAATTAATTATAAATTGAGCTGTGTGTACGTGTGTGTGTGTGTGTGAGTGGTATGCAGTATTGCGGACTTCGCTGCAGTGGAGTGAACGAACCGTCAACTGCTTCAAGCTGGCTGCGACTGCGGTTTCATATGCAATTATTTGTCGTCACGACGGAGGCGGCCACGTCGACAGCAGCTGCCGTTTCGGATGGGAGCCGGTCAGCAGAGTGGGCCCCAGGCCCCTCAATGGGAAGCAGCAGCAGGCTAACCAAGTGCCCCTACAGGCACACCTCCGTCTCGGTCTCCGTGCACGGCACGGCACAGCAACTTGGCCGGGCCCAGAGTTTGGTTAGTTTGCAGCTCATGCATTAATTATTGTTGGGCTGTTGCGGTCAACATGGTCACATGGTCACATGGTCACATGGCCACATGGCCACATGGCCAAATGGCTGCCCGGTCACATGGCACTGCTGCAATCGAACGGTTGCCCACTAAAGCAAGGCGCTCGCCGGGCCGCCAATAGATGCCCTGGCTGGTTATAGCATGGGCACCGCAGTAACCGAATCCCGTCTAAAGCATCGCAACGGGCGCACAAATGCTGCCATCAATTTTGGCTGCCATTCTCAGCGGTTGCTGCCTGGGAGAGGGAATGCGAGTGGGAATGGAAGTGGAAGTATGACTGGGAATGGGGCTGCACACACGCCTACATTTAACTAACTGAAATTGGCAAATTTTCAGATGCAGCAGCAGGGGATCATAATATGATTGCATGCCCAGCCACGCACACACATATGTGAGTGTTCAATATATGCCGGCAAGCGCAACTGTTAACCAAACAAAACAACAATAAATATGCATAATAATTTCATACATTAAATCTTGCCGTAGCACTGTTGCGGTTCTCGACACCCTACACCCTATACCCTATACCATACTCCGCGTCCAGGTCCCGTTGCCTAGCAGCTGACGGTGGGGCGGTGAGGCACAAAAGACGACACAGTCGCCGTGTATATCATTTACCGCACATAACAAGGACTAACCTGGAGTTTGGACCAAAATGAATAATATAATCGAAACTAAATGCAATTAGCATTAAAATTTTACGAATTACGCAAAACACCTGACAACACATAAACAACGTGGCGGGCATGTTGACTATGTGGACAGCAGCTCATTTCCCTGCTTAATCTGTATT